CTATGTATTTTAACTGTTCTTTATCCTTTATTCGAATAAATTATTCGAGTAAAAATTGCAAAATTTGAATAATAATGCGAGTAATTGTTACCACATTTTTGTTTCTATATTACGACAACAATACGAAGCAAACATTCCAATCGTTGAATCCAACAATGGTCGAATCTTGTGCACTCGTAGAAAAATTATGTAGTTAAGCAACAATTATCAATATGGCTTGGACAGCAAGATTTTTGATCATTTTCAAATATTTGAAAAAAAGTTAATCGTAAAAATTAACATGAAAGAAATTAATCAATGAACTACAAAAAAAACATCCATTATCCATATCTGCATTATTTTTATTCATATCGATTATTTAATGAATGAATTCCTGTACGAATAAATTTTTATTCGGATAACAAATAACTTTCTATTCAAATGAATTCTTATTGGAATACATTTATATATAGATACATTTTTATGCGATTGGATATTTTTTCAAAAGTATCAATTAAATTTTTATCCCTTCATCTTTATCACTTATCTATCATCCGAATCAAATTTTGGCCAGCACTGACGGAAGATATTGTACTATCTATTGTAAAGGAAAGGCCTGCAGATTTTAATTGTTGTTGTATCATATAAAAAGATATAATAATCGCAGAGGAGATAGTAGTAAAGACAAAATCAATAAATAAATTAGAGAAGATAAGGGTTACAAATTTTAAGGTCAAAATATACAAAACTTTTCTCATAGAGATAGCAGACTGTTGCAAAAATGTTGAAATTACGAATCAATAAATCACGCCGATCGATCCGGAATGATTTTTAAGAAACGTTTCGAAGAAAAGAGTGAACACGTATGTATGTACCTAATTGGAAACCGAAGCCCATGCTCGCCGGCGATATGTAAAACGGATGAGTCTAGAGACTATAATCGGTAGCGGAAAGTAGCTAACAACAAGTGGCACAACCCTCCAGTTTAAAAGCTTTATCTGACACTGCGGGCATAGGCTATAGCCCAACTAAAGCCAGATACTCGTATCATTCAAAGACGAGGTTGCGGTTAGGCGAACAAAGTGTCTTATGTCTACACTGTTGTCAAAAAAACGCGATGGGATTTCGATCCATCGAAACGCTGTTCGCAAATCGGGTACAAACATAATATGAACCTTCCTACGCATGCATTATAATACATTGTTCTTAAACTTATTATATGAAAGGATACAATAATCAATATAAAAGTATAAAAGAAAATAAGAATCTATTTGCACAGATCAACTGAATTTGACTTTAATAGGGCGATAATTAAAAATGTTATACGCACCTCAATAAACGGCCTGTTTATTATATGAAAGGATGTAATAATGAATATTAATAACTATATTAATAATTATATTATTAATTACATTATCAATTACATTATTATTTATATTATTAATTATATTATTAATTTTATTATTAATTATTATAAAACAAGGAACACCTAGAAATTTACATATGAAATATCAAACTATGTATATGAAGAATTTAAAAATAGTATTGAGTACTCCTCAATCCATTAGAATTATTAAACAAAGAAACAATTTTTACCCAACCTCTGTTCCCTACAATTAATTTAAAACATCTTTTTTTATTGTACGTAGAAGATTGGAGTTGATGCAGAATGTACAGCTGCTACAGACATTAAGAAAGAATCGTGAAAGTTAATACTAGTAGCAGGAGCATATAGATAAAAGTAAAGAAAGAATTTGTACGATATGTCAGTGTTGTGTTAATTGATGAATCCAACCGCGCCATGCAGATTGGGGCACCTAACGCGAACACGGCAAATGCGAGTTTCAAATCGAAAATTACAACGAACCGATTCGAACTTGTCACCAATAACGGGACGGAAAATTTTGCGAATGCACTCGCGAAAAACGGCCTTCGATGCGACTGAATTGCGTAACCACGGTATGGACGTCTACTTCGCTTCCGTTACTTTCACTGCTCCTTATTTCCGGTCTGTCGTGTGACTTCTATCAGAGGAACTGGTATAATATTATCTCGCAGCCGGTATCGTTGTGCTACAGTCGATCGTTGTCTTTCTAATTATTACTAAATCATTAAATTCGATCGATGATAACGATTGCGTCATTTACTTTTAACTTTAAGATGTATTTTTTGTATGTATCCGTTAATTTATCATGCTTACATTAGTTTTACCTATAATTTTATAAAGATTATATTTAGATTGATAAAGATATTTTATAGATTTATAAAGATACATGTCCTTTTAAAAAATCAGGATACTATATGTATAATTTTGTAAAATTCCAATTTCCAATTTTTTTGTTCTGTACATAATTATTTTTTTTAATAAAACATTCTCTCAATTGTGTATTAAATGTAATATTACAACGATAAAACTGTGTTGTAAACAAAAAAGGATCAGTTTTTGTTTGTCTTTCTTTTCAAATATTGTATTTATTACCAGTGTTCCAAATTTGGTGAATTTTACCATTTTTTAAAATTACTTCAATATTAACAGGTGTTTATTATGTTTGAAATTTAAAACAGTTCTAAAGAATGGCGTGCAAAAAATCAAATAATATTTCATATTTGACGACTTTACTCCAGTATTAACACTAATCATCACCATCTCCCTTTGCCAATTTGTATTTTACAATTATTGAAAATATGAAGATACGTTCACGGGAAATCATTAAATAAATTTCTTCATTCGGACACATATTGATAGAAATATTGCAAAAAATCGAAATAAATTGAATCTTGTAATCTTTATAAAGACACGTCGTACCGGTTACTTTTAGCGCTCGGTACGGTTTGTGTTAAAGAAATTTCAGTTCGTGAAATTTCAACTCGTCGGTGTTCCCTCTATCCCATTGTTCGCCGTCTCCCCGACCGTCGCGTCGGTCGTTCGAGCCCACTTTTCGCCGTTGTCCTAAAACACCACCCACTCGGCGATTTCGTTGACGACGAGTCGCCGACAATTACCATTATTCGTCGCGGCATCAGTCGGCCGCTGGTAAACAAGCATCGTCGCATCTTTCAACGAGAAGGCGCACGCCGTCTACCCGACATAAAGTAATTACACCGGTCGGCCTTGTTCATTGCTATTACGCTTACGTATCCTGCGGAATCGCTGCAGCGCGGCGGCGTAGCTGATTCGCCGGGATTCATCATTAATTATATCGCCGTGCCACGCCGGTAGAGATATAATGCGAGCCTCGTCGCTATTGAAATCCCGGTGCCACGGTCTCGAATGTTATTTTAATTGCGTCGCGTTCCTCTCGCGATCGCTGCGACTTTCCGCGCCACTTTGGGACACCTGCTACGGAAACTTTAATGAACGACTGGATCCCGTAGCCCGACTCTCGCGTTAACTCCGGACTCGGTAGCACGGGGAACACGGGCGCTTGATTGTGTCGATACCAACAGGTGATCAACAGTTCGAACAGTATTATTATTTAAGTTGCCGCGCTCGAACTCGCCGTTCGTCCTAATGAACTTTCTCTCTGCTAGTATACATTATGTAAAAAATCTATCGGGGAATTTGTAAATAAAGCACAAACTGCTTATTTAGTCATGACGTGTAGGCGTGTAAAGAATCAAGATGTTCCAATTATTTATATTTATTACTAAAACTTGTATTGTATATTACAATTACTTACAGAGTGGTCCACAAAAGTGTTCGTACACCTTTCAAAACACAATAACATTTTCAAACCTGAACTAAATGGCTTGAATGTTTTTCCAGACGATAGAGGGACTAGTCTACTAGACGATGGCTAAAAAGCTTTTTTTTTAATTTCGCTATTACTTGGAATAAAATGGAAAAATGAAAAACCCTCGTTTTCTAACTTTTTTATCTGAGCCCATAACAAAAATTTAAAAAATGCTTTTTGTAGATCTCGGTAACTTATATGCGCGCTGAAAATTTGATTGAAATCGGTTAATCCAAAGTCGAGCTATAGACGTTGAATGATTTTAAAAACTGCAGATTTCTTAGTTTTTGGTCAAAATCGTGATAAAACTGCAATTTTTGCGATCTTTAATTTGCTGTAACTCGTAACAATGTGAACTGATTTCGATAAGATTTTTATCGTGCATATAAGTTACCGGAATCTACGAAAGACATTTTTTAAATTTTCGTTGTAGACTCAGATAAAAAAGTTAAAAAATAAGAGATTTTTATTTTTTATGAATCCAAGTAATAGCAAAATTTAAAAAAAAGCATTTCAGTCATTGTCTTCTATAATCTCAAAAAAATTCAAGTCATTTAGTTCAGTTTTAAAATAGTTATTGCGTTTTAAAAGCTGTTCGAACATTTTTGTGGGCCACTGTACATGCAAGGTGGGTGATGTAACTTGCACACCTTAACTTTTAAATTATGCATCTAATTGAACATTGTTAAATACAGGAGTTTTTCAAGAGGGCGAGATGACGTCGTATTCATTTCTTTTTTTTTTGTAGATGGTGCAGTTTTCGAAATTTCATGTCTGAAGAAAGCAGATTGTGAATAAAATTGAACGTCGAGTAAATGAATTTCATATCTGTTTGTTGTCATTTGAGAATGTGCAACGCGAATCGCGAGGTTGCATAAGCGATGTGACACGATGCAACGCGAGTTCACATAATGGGAGTTCAGTAATATTCGTACGTTCGATAAATCGGCTATGTGACGTCATGGGTTCCAATAAGTGGAGTTCGGATAACTGGACTTCAACTGTGGAGCTCTTTCACTACAAGAAAGTGAGACAGTTTGTTAACGAAAGTATGTGACTATAAAGGATAATCAAATTTTTATAACCGTGTAAAAATAGAAAATCTTTATCAAATAAAATAATGTAGACGATATGATAGAACAATATTGGCAATTGCCATTGATATATGGTTTAGTATTTTAAAAACAAATGAGCATATCATCTCTTTTTTTAACACTGACACAATTACTATAGTAATTAAAATTTTATTGTACAATTTAATAATTGCAAGAAAAAATGAACACGTACTAAGAGACATTTCCATTCTTCCCTATCCATACATATGTATATGCATAGGTGTTCCGCTTTATTTTAGGTGAGGTAATATGTAAACATTCATGAACATTGTTGTTTTAATCTTATGTTAAAATTAAATATGATATAATTGATTTACATTTTATGCAAGCAATGGGTTTACTTTTGACAGCAATACATTAAATAGTCTTAAGAGAGTTGGCGAATCTTCAAAAATATCATTTACATACTTATCTATGTTATCGGATGCTTGCAAATCCCTACACACATTGTACAAAAATGTACCGTTAAACAAATTCGCTACGATTGGCTCTTGATAAGGGCAGCCCAATAGCGCATTCAAGTTAATGGCGGTAAGTAAACACATTTGAAATTGTGAAAATGCATGTACAATAGACATATCAACCTTTTTATTAAAATATTCATTTGGTTGCATTTTAGAATTAGTAATACAAAATGACGCGGTTAAAAGACAATCCATCATATCAATACCTGAACGAGCCTGATCAATCGTAACATTCTTCGAGATGTTTAATTTGTTTCTGCATGCCTGTCTTCTATTTTTTGAAATCTCGATTAAACTACCATATGCCTCTTGGAAGCTGTTTATGGAATTGTGTTGTCCTACCTTTGAAATTATTATGTTATATAAGATACAGATAATTATCGAATACACGTAACATCTATGCGATTTGTACAATTTTTCTTCATCAGTCCAATACTTAATACAACCAATATACAATCTCCATTCTGGTAAAAGTTCATCGATACATTTCTTGTTCTTGATGCCGAGAGCATCGTCTAAAATTTCCTTTCGAGTACCTAATGGAAGGTCTCTAAGGGTTAATAAAGGTACCGTTTTGGTCCCTGCTAATGCATTACATACGAAATTTAAATTTTGATCCCTAAATACATATCTCATATAGGTTTTCCTGTCATTTATCAACGATGATATAAGTCCATATGTAACGCTAACAATTTTCAAACTTATTAAGCTGCTCGAAGGACGATCTATGTTTTCTATTTGTATTGGTAGTATGCTCGTGTGTTTTACTATGTAGTTTATTAAAACTGATGGAAGTTCAGCTTTAGCAATCTCATCCACAAACCATCTGGGTAACCTGTTAATAATCAAATCATTTCCATTTTGAATCTTGGTATGTTCTATAAGTATATCTCTTATTACGATCATATCATTGTTAATGTTTTCATCAATTATTTCAAAGTCCTCCTCGGAGTACTTTCCTCTGAACGGTAAACTTTCAATATCTTTATTAAATTTGTAAGCTGATGTTATGTAATGATTAGGGCATTCAGCAATAATCAATGGTGCAAGCACTGCTTCGGGTAGATTTATACAGGTATAGTAATTTATGTGTAATTCTATTGCATCTAACATTCGTTGTCTCTTTGATTTAGGTATTCCACTTAAGATTTCAGCAATAGCTTCGTCCAAGGTACGTTTGCTGAGCCAAGTAAATGTTTGTTGCATGATTTGCTTATATTTTTGTGGTCCATATGCTTCGAATTTAGAGAAAAAATTTTTTAACATCTCTGGTTTTATTGTAACGTCACTTCCGAGTATCGCTGCAGCTAAAGACAATGTATGATGAGTCAGTCCTTGGAAAATACGTAGGAAGTATTCATATCTGTAAATTTGACAACGCATCGCTTTGCCGCTTCGAGTCCTGACTACATGATCACCGAGTGTGTCAAATGGTATATACAATGTTCCGTGTATATAAAAGTCAGAGTCAAAACTAAGTACAGGACAGTTTAATACTTTTGCTACCGCAGCTATAGGCCCGTCAGCTTCGAACATACAACGTGCATGACGAATATTTTTCTTTCTTAAAACTTGCACGAAAACGTTTGGTATGAGCAAAGAAGGAACATTACGTTTCGTTGGATTTGCAATCAAAGCTAACGAATTTTCAAACTTTTGTTTGAGTCTGTCCAATATGATGTCTGTTTTTGAAATATCGTATGCTCCGTCTAGTAATACTAACGGTGTCACATCACACTCTAGCAACTTATCAAAGAATTTGGATATAGCCTGCTCATATACATTGTATTCTCCACCAAATATACAACTTTGATCAACACATCTGTTAAATATTTGATAACTCACGTTGTTACCGTCGATGACCAAGTACGTACTTCGCAGTTCATAGTTTTGCTCACATTGATTTCCGTAATTCTTTACAAACGACGTTAAACCTCGGATACCCATTGCGTGTGATTTAAACTAGCTTTTGTCAATTGCTGAATAAAATCGCCTTGTAGGGCTATTTTCACTCTGCATCTAATTCTATGTGCAGTCTTCTGTAGAGACCTGTGGTCTTACTGTACCACTGCAGAAAACTACGCACTAACACAGTACTTATAGATTGTACAATCTACAGATATGATTCGTGACGTAATTGTGATTCATAGAACGAATGCAAAAATGCATACGCAGCTTTATTCAAGGAGTGATCTCAAATCGAGTGTCGGTAATGTAGAACTTAACATACAGTGACTCTGATTAATATTCGGACACTTTTTAAATGTAATACAATTTTTAGAACTGGACTCGATTTTAGATAATAGAGTAACCAGTCTACTATAGATCATAACTAGAATGCTTTTTTATAATTTTGTTATTGCTTAGAATGACAAAAGAAAATAAAAAATTCCCATTTCTTAATTTTTTGTTTATCTAAGCCTATGACGAATTTAGAAAATGCGTTTTGTAGATCTCGGTGACTTACATGCATGTTGAAAATTTCGTCGAATCGGTTGACCTTGGTATGAACTGTAAACAATTAAAGATCTCAAAAATCGCAGTTTTGTCCCGATTTTTGATACTTTCAACCAATAAATGTGAGATATTTTCAGTTTTTAAAATCTTTCGTCGCTTATAACTTGACTTACTACGTTAACACACACACACGCACACGCATGTACAGAGAGAAAGAGAGAGAGAGAGAGAGAGAGAGAGAGAGAGAGAGTGAGAGAGAGAGAGAAAGAGAGAGAGAGAGAGAGAGAAAGAGAGAGAGAGAGTTTTAACAGAGTGTATGTGTCAATATACATATATGTATAATCGTCGAGCAAAGGACTTCGTCGCCCCATCATACTCGTCCTGGTTATTACATGTGTAAACAGATAGCGACGTTGATATAGAGATTCGCGGATTCTCTCTCAATACGATGTAGTTCTTAGCGTGCATATAACTTACCGAGATGTACAAAACACATTTTTTATATTTTCATTATAGGCTCAGATAAAGAAGTTAAAAAATAAGAGTTTTTTATTTTCTTTTGTTATTTTAAGCAATAGCGAAATTTATGTTTAGTTTAGTATTTTAGAAATAAAATGAACATGTCACCACCTTTTTCAGCACTGATGCAATTAGTATAGTAATTAAAATTTTATTGTACAATCTAATAATTGCAAGAAAGAATGAAGACCTACACGTGTGCCACGAGACTTTAGGATAAGAAATTTCGGGTATCTTTTTTACATGATGAATTACATCGGACGCGTTTAGGACCGGTGGTCCTAGCGTTAATCGAATTATCGAGGAGAATTTTTCTGACACTTTGTAAAGCCTGCTGATCGAAAATTCGATTTCCTGGCAGGTGTTACACAAAACTGACTTTAACCGGTGATCTCTGATTCGGAACTTACTGGTGGATCGTATACGTAGTTTGCCGGCACGAAGGGCCACATCAACGTCGGTGTGTGCTTCATAAAATATGCCACTCACAGTGTTGCACCGTTTGGAATCTTGACGCACACGGGGAAACACGCTTGTACACTGGCATCGGGAGCATAATGCACGGGTAGATAAATCGATAGCGAAGGTTGGCAGTACTAACAAGTTTCTAGCATTCCTCTTTGATGTGATCGCATGTACGCGAACATTTGCCGTTGAGTACCTCGTCATACAGTGACGAGCATATCGCCATCAATTGACCACGCGAATGCAAACTGAGAGGCCACATTGCGATGCAGAGTGTTTCGTAATGGAAATGCATTGTACTAGACAGGAATGTGCGTGGCGTGGATCCCCGTGATATTGATCTGCCCGTAAAATTTCCTGCATCCGTATTTCGCATGCTACTTCGCCTTTTGATCTGTCGTCTATCGCGCACGGCCGAAAATCGGTGAAAACAACGCCGCAAAGTCCCGGCACAAAGTTTTTAATATTCGATCACTTACCGTACTTCAACGAGTCTGACCAGCCATCTAGATTTCTAGTAATAACCTGTTAAGTATCGCTGTTATTCCATTTTCTTAAGTGAGAAGAAAATTCAGTTCTCTTGTCCCTAATATTTAATTTAAGTAAATTCAGGCGTACATTAAATATTAATTTTCTTCTTGTCCAGTGACAAATTGTTTACAGCACTAAAACCACATTTAACTAAATATGATGAAGCCATGCCGTCATTGATCCTTCTCCATTGTATAGTGTTGTAATCAGAGTTCGGCGAAATTTTATTCGCATAAGAGGTAAAGATAACGAATGCAATTTTATTCGATACTATCGAATCAAAATTAATAATTTTTTTTTAATTTTTTTCATAATTTATTTTTTTATTTCTTCCATATTCCTTGTTACGATTAACTCTTTTTCAAATACTACATCGGAAAGTAGAATTATATTCAATTAAATAGATAGAATAATTTAGAACGAATAATAAATAATTGTTATTCAAATAAAATATTCTACAAAAAAATATTAATTTGGATAATTATCTTAGATAAAATATTTATTCGAAACAATTCAAATAATGTCCAAATCTCGTTGTAATCGACTCATCACCGGAACAAACGAGTTCTTGCTTTCACTAAATAGAAAGGGTTCAAAATAAATAAATTAAAAAGACAACAAAAAATAAATTAAAAAAGAGTAAAATATATAAGAGTTAAAATAATAAAAAAAAATAAATAAAAACTCGACTTAATATTTACTGTTTCGTCTGGTTTGATAGAAACTATTGAAAATGTCACCACAAGTCACATACCATCCCTTCCGAGATATTGTCCCTTAAATTGCATAATTTTTTTATATCTATAGTATCTGTTTTTTGAGCGTCTTTTTTTCTGATAAATGGACCGTTTATTTTGTAAGTGGTGTAAGTCCTTTTTTAAAAAGAAATAAGATATGACGTAATTTATGTTTTATTTAGTGTAAACTTTTTGTTTATAACTAGTTAGTAGTTAATATTTTAAAAAATGCCAATGCTTTGTTCAATTTAAAATTGACCGGTAAAAGAAATTGCGTAACCATTGATTATGAAAGTGGTGTAAGTCCAATTTCCATAGACAGGTGGCGGGGTTAGTGACCACCGGTGGCTTCACAATTGCTTTATTTGCTATTTATATTGTTTTATTTTCGTACCAAAAGTTACTATTTTAGGTTACTTATTTTATTTTCCTCCAACAATGGATAATTTCATATTCACATCAGATAGTGATATAGGTAAGAAGAAATAGTAAATCAATGTTATTTTATGACAATTGAAAATAGTTATTTTATTTTATTTTAAATAAATTTACACGGAAATAAGACCCATGAATATAAACAAAAGAATAATCTTAGAATCGGAAGATGAAGATAATTCTACTATGAAAAATAAATTAATGAAGCGTAAAAAGAGAAGAAGAATTATAGAGATAGAATTTTCATCAGATGAGGATATTGTTACTGAGAAAACTTGGATTCTGTAAAAGAAAATAAAGGAAAATATACGCAACGAATAAACAAAATTAAGCGAAAT